CTTTTTTTCCTACAAAAGTTCTCATCAACTTTTTTATCTATTCATCTGGACTCTAAGAAATACATTAAAATGAAGAACTTATTCTCTAAGTGGATGCCCAATCGCTATTACAAAGTATGTATGGCAGGTTTAACAAACAGGCTTAATAAAAGTGGTTTCCACCTTGCTTTAATAACTGGAGAGGTCGCTCATGTCCTTGACTAAATAGCAGTTCTCCTATCTTTACTTTGAAGTTTATACTATTATGTTCTATGTACTGATAAAGCTTTTACTATTTACATTTTGAATACCAGCTTTTTAAATCAAAAAAATCAAAATCCTTTTTCCTGTGTTTAGTAAGAGATGCTCTTATTTAACCAATGGCCTATGCTTCTAGTACTTGCCCATTTAAAATTTTATTGCCAATTAGGATTTTTCAACCCTATCTACTAAATTCCTGCATGACAGTGCACCTATTTACATTCTGAAAAGAATTCGGATGCTGTTCAGATGTAAAAATATATTACAAGATTGAAATTGATTTCCAATTCATTTACCATTCATTTTTGTAGCAAATGAGTTAAATAGGAAAAAAAATCTGATGAATAGTTTGAAAGTTTCCTCTTGCATACGCTAAAACGTAATACACTTCCACTACTTTTGGGCTATTATGGACCTTAACATGCAATGTGACCTTGGTCTGAAAAGCATGTTTGGTTAGCACAGAAACTTAATCATAAGAAGTCATAAGTAGAATCCTTCTTCTTTATGGCCCTTTTTCTAGGACTAGGAAATTTATTGCTTGTGAGACAGGTAGGATATGAACAATGGGCCAAATAGAGTCCAGGGTTATCTCATCCATGTTAAAACTGCTGCTGAAAATCGATGTGACCTCTGCTACACTGTCATCCCAGTTCCCACCCTCTGTGTCCTATTTGTCTTTTGATAGAAGCTTAGATCCGTGTGCTGTCTCTATGTGTCTCTCTTGGGCCAGATTATCAAAATGAATCATTGCCTGCATACCTCTTATATTTCTATTTATTTTCCTGGTGTTGACTAGGTCTGATGAAATATGATTCTTTTTGTATTTGATCCTCACTGCAGCAAGCAACACCTAATTCAGCTGTGTCTATCTCTTTAAAGAAGAGTAATACTATTTTGAAACTCCAATTTACTGTACAGCAACATTATAAACCATAGACCATGCAACCTGTCTTCATCGTCAATAGTAATTTTCCTTTCAGCCAATTTAATGGCATTTTTTTCATCTTCAAATAGAAGACTTCTAACAAATTTAATGTAGTTATAATTTTGTTTTGTGCGTACTAAATGTATTGCTTTCCTTTTCAGCTATCTTGTTTGTAAAGTAACCCTCAGAGTCTCACCACTGAGGTTATACATATGTGTAGGTGATATGTAACAATGAATCCATTATTTTAAGAGCTCTGTCCTTGACACAAAATATTTATTCAGGGAAATGATTATATTGTCTCTGAATCAGCAGGAAGTTAATGTTATAACTTTGTAGCACTTCATTTTATAATAGTAGCTTTTCCAGGCTACATAAATTAATACTTGAAGATTTATAAACATCAGTATAAAAGTACAGAACCTTTCTAGCTGTTATAAATATTGATATATCATCATTATAAAGTAATTCCATCCACTTAATGCATTCATGTGGAGAAGGAAAAAATAGTACTTAAATATAGACATCAAATAATGCAATTGAAGCATCACATTGTGGTTAATTGTTGCGAAATGTACCTTAGAAACCTTAGAGCTGCTGCCTAAGACATGTTTTAATACTGTTTTTATGAGATAATACTTCAAATGAAACCATGTAGCTGAATAAGGTCACAGAATTGGTGATAATGTGCTGATTCTCTCTGGAATAGTTTAACTCTTCTAAACCTACCACTGACTTTACCAAAAAAAAAAAGTAGAGAGGCAAATGTCTTGTAAGAGTTTAGGGTTAATTTTAAATAGTCAGAGTTATATAACTAGAGTATGAAAATAAACTACAAGTGAATTGTAGAAAACATTTGCATCTGTGAACAAAATACTGTTTTTAAAGCTTTACTAAAAAATAATTTCTGGGAAGTTATTCTCATAGCTTTCTGTGCTAAAGAAAATTAATAGAGATGGGGTTTCTCCATGTTGGCCAGGTTGGTCTCGAACTCCTGACCTCAGGTGATCTGCCTGCCTCGGCCTCCCAAAGTGCTGGGATTATAGGCGTGAGCCACTGCACCAGGTAAGGTATTGGAAACTATCTCCAATGCAACAATGTTGAGAGTTGTGACTTCATGAAAGGTGTTTAGGTCAGGAGAGCTCCGTCTTCACGAAGGGATTAATAAGCTATAAAAAGAGCTCGCAAGAGTGAGTTCACTCTCTCTTGTGTGTCTGACTTGTGCCACATGAGAATGCAGTGAGAAGGTCCTCATCATATTCTAGTGCCTTGATATTTGACTTCCAAGCCTCAAGAATTGTGAGAGAATAAATTTATGTTCTTTATAAATTAAAAAAAAGAAAATTAATGATATAGTTCATGCATTTTATTGAATTATTTAAGGTCAATAAACAAATACTCTTTTTAATATTTGGATTCAAACAGTGTGAAACTGTTGACTCTAATAAAATCATATAGCATTTTTAAAATTGCTGTTGGTTTGGAAAAATAAAAAATGTAAAGGTGATACATACTAAGAGCCTTTTATTCAGAGATAGTACTAAGTAATCTCACTGAAGTTTCCCACAAATGAATGGCACAACTTCCCACACGAGAAATTCCACAGCAAACGGTAACTGTTAAATTAATGGGCTCAAGACTCTGCACACTGCATATGTAGGCTGCTTGCAATTGCAAAATGGAGTCTTAATATATGACAAATCCATATTCCAAACCTACAGGAACCCGAACCAAGAGACCTTTTTTGGTTGTTGTTTCCAAACCATGTGAAATTGGTTATGTCTAGATTTAAGCCAAGTCTTTTTTGTTGAGCGAGTCTCATTAGAATATATGGAGTCACTGAATTTTTTTTCTGACCAGAGAGATGCATATTTTTTAAACTTTGCCTGTGCTCTCTTGATGAAACTAAGATACTCCAGTGAGCAGCGTAACTGTGTGAGGTGCTATAATTCACTGCTGATGAACCCAATTAAGAGTAACTGAATTTGTTTCGTTAACATCCCAAGATTACCTTTCAGTGGCAGTTTCTTTTTACATATGCATTTACAGAAGACAATTTATCTGATTCATACAGGTCATATGAAAGATTGTCAGCCAGAATAACCAAGTGTTCAGGGTTCTCAAAGTAGGAGGGGATTCCCTTTATAATTAGGTATATCTGTTTGAAGCAAATATAAAACATATTTATAAACAAAAATTCTATTCATAGCTCTTTATTGAGTAATGAGACTATTGAAGAATACAGCATAAAAATAAAAGAGAATATGTGTAACTTGTGATTTTATGTCATACATGTTATTTTCTGATAAGGGATATTCCATGAAATAAAAAGTAACACTGGACAATAGGTGCTGGAGAGGATGTGGAGAAATAGGAACACTCTTACACTGTTGGTGGGACTGTAAACTAGTTCAACCATTGTGGAAAACAGTATGGCGATTCCTCAAGGATCTAGAACTAGAAATACCATTTGACTCAGCCATCCCATTACTGGGTATATACCCAAAGGATTATAAATCATGCTGCTATAAAGACACATGCACACGTATGTTTATTGTGGCACTATTCACAATAGCAAAGACTTGGAATCAACCCAAATGTCCATCAGTGACAGACTGGATTAAGAAAATGTGGCACATATACACCATGGAATACTATGCAGCCATAAAAAAGGATGAATTCGTGTCCTTTGTAGGGACATGGATGCAGCTGGAAACCATCATTCTCAGCGAACTATCACAAGAACAGAAAACCAAACACCACATGTTCTCACTCATAGGTGGGAAATGAACAATGAGATCACTTGGACACAGGAAGGGGAACATCACACATTGGGGTCTATTGTGGGGAAGGGGGAGTGGGGAGGGATAGCATTAGGAGATATACCTAATGTAAATGACGAGTTAATGGGTGCAGCACACCAACATGGCACATGTATACATATGTAACAAACCTGCATGTTATGCACATGTACCCTAGAACTTAAAGTATTAAAAAAAAAAAAAAGTAACAGTGGAAACAATCCAAATAGTCATCAACTAGAAAATGTTTAAATGCAAGCTAGTACATTCATGAAGTGAAATACTATTCAGCAATAAAAATAAACCACCGATACCTGCCACAACATGGATAAGCTTAAAAAACATGCTAAGAGAAAGAAGTCAGACACAAAAAACCATGTATTGTAGGATTCTATTTACATGAAACATTCAGAAAAGGCAAACCTTTGGAGATAAAGCAGATTAATGGTTTCTAGGGGCTGAGGTGGGAAAGAAGATTAATTGTAAATGGACATGAGGAGTCTTTATAGGGGAAATTAAGATGTTCTAAAATAGATTTGTGGTGATGATTAGACAACTCTAGAAATTTACTAAAAATGAAGTGTATACTTAAAATAGGTGAATTTTATTTTATGTAAATTATGCTTCATTAAAGCTGTTAAAATAATCAAGATAAATAAATTGATTGACAGATTAATAGATTTAGAGAAGAAAAAATAAAATGTTGCTTATGTTTTTCCAGGAAGTGATCTGAGTATTTAACTTATAGATATTTATAAACACATATGTCAATTGTATGTATCTTAAATTTTTTTCTGCAGATTTTATACCTCTTTAGCCATAAGCATTGTTTCAGTTTCACAAGTTCTTTACTGAAATATTTATTTTTTGAAATTAGAGGCAGCTGGAGAATAAATATGACTTCTAATCATGAGAATGTCAGTCATTTAGTTTTAGAAACAAAATCTTTATAGATGCTTGGTAGAGGTGGCATAGTGAGACTTTTGAGCTCTTAATCTGTGAACCTTCTGATATTAATTTTGTTTTTGCAGAAGAGGTACCAGTACAAATTCCAATAATGAAGTCACCCTTGGACAAGATACAGCTGACTCCTGGGCAGGCATTGCCCGCTGGATTCCCTGGACCATTGATTTTCGCTGATAGTCTGTCCTCCGTGGAGACTCTGTTGACCAACATTCAGGTCAACAATATTTCTATAAACAAAATAAATGTAATACAAGACATTAGCACCTACATATATTATTTTATATTTGATAAATTAAAACAGATAAGATGAACTGCATGTCATTTCCTGTACCTTGACAGGGTCTACTGAAAGTGGCTTTGGATAATGCTCGCATCCAGGAGAAGCAGATTCAACAAGAAAAGAAGGAGCTACGACTGGAGCTTTATAGGGAGAGAGAAATTAGAGAAAACCTTGAAAGACAACTTGCAGTTGAGCTTCAAAGCAGAAGTAAGTTTTACAAGTTCAATTACAGAGTGAATATTATGCTGGAGGTATTTTCAATACTAATAGAAATATTCTCTGAGATATCTTGGAATTGCCGAAAACAAATGATAAGCTAAGAATTAAGTACTGTGTATAAACCAAAACATCGCTCTTTATACTAAAAGAAAATGAATTATGTCTGCACTTTGGGCCAGCTGCAGATTTGGAAACATGAATATTTATTGTTATCTCACAATTTCATAAAGTTCACCTGAATATAAATAATCTAACAATTCCTTATATATGGAATGCATACCCTTTGCCAGGCACAGTGTTAGATTATGGGATTATAACACGAATACAAAACAGTCTCTGTTTTGGAAGGATTATGTTTTAGAGAGCTAGTGCAATCGTTTACTTTTAACACAAAGTGGCAAAAGCAGCCATGTCCAGTCAATATGATTATACAGAGAGTGAGTAGTTAGCTTAGTTTGTTGACGGTGGTTAAGGAACACTTCCTGATACTGACACCTGAATCTGAATCTTGAAAGATCAGGAGGCAAATATATATATATATATATATGTATATGTGTGTGTGTGTGTGTGTGTGTGTGTGTGTATATATATAAGAAAACCTAAGTGATTTGGGCAAGCTAGACAGAGGTATCAGTTAGCAAAGGCTTGGGGACAAGAAACTTCATACATGCATAACTAAATACAATTTATTATAATGTCGTTGAGGTTTTTGAAGTGAATAGTGTGAGATGATGGAGAAAGTTGGGAGTGGAAGCTGCATTATGAAGGACAATTTTAATCATGTGAAAGCTTGGACTTTATCCTGTAGGTGATGTGAAATATTAAAAGATACGCAGTGGAATGATCTGATTTGATTTCAATTGGATCAATCACCACCATGTTGGGAATAGATTGGGGGAGTGCATATAAAACTAGAGAAAAAGAAAACTGTGCAAAAGGAGATTGCTGTCATCCAGGCAGTGGTGAGGAGGACTGAATTAGAGTAGCGGAAATATGGAAGACAAAAGGGAAGGAATGGAGATATTTAGAATTGTTCACAAATAGGATTAACTTTCCAACTGTGAGTAGCCACTTGATTAACGAATAAATGAGAATAGTTCATATCAAAACCACAGAGAATTAAAAACTTCACTTTAGTCAATAATTTCCACATCTTCCCTATATTTATCATAAAATACTAAACAGCCATAAACATGACATTTATGAATTTCAACTTCTTTCCCTTCCCTGTTTACTCTTCTGTGTAGGGGGTCACAAAGCCTAAAATTAGCAAAGAGAGTGGAAAAGACAGGCAAAGAAAAGGTGTGAAAATCCATAATCCAAATATAACTACCTGAACAAAGAAAGATGACTACAGTTGCATGAAATCTACTAACTTTATACTAATTGAAAGTAGCATATTATACTCTGAAATTTATTTTATAAAATGGAAAACATACTATATATTTTCCTTAGGGCCTAGGAATCATTGGTTTCATTCAAAATGGAGATTTAGTCTTTGCACTTAAAAAGAATTAAGCCCGTTTTGCTTATCTTGTCAAATTCATGAAATACTACAAAGCAAAGACTAAACCATCTTTTTAATGTTTGGAGAAATTGATATATTTCTGATATTTGGTATACAAAATATGATATTATGATTAACAGTCATAACTCACATTTCTTTAGTAGAGAGTTCCTTAATACCAAACATCCAAAAAAATTGTATGTTAAATATAATAAGACTCTTAAATTGGCTTATGAAAATCCACTACATATGGTAAAATTGGCTTCTAACTTTTAGGGATCTATTTATTTTGATTTCTGTTCACTGACTTTTTATAGACCCATCAGGTCTGTATTTATAATTCATATCTATTGTTTTTTAAAAAGTCCTTAGACATGGTAGGTATAATATTGTATCTATTACCAAATTTTCTGTGAAGTATTTTTATTTAATAAATGTAGCATTTATCACAATATAATAATAATAATACCACTAATACTATTGCTTTCGTTATTACTACTACTGCCATTATCATGACTACTAATATTACTAGGGTTAATGCTTATCAAATGTCTAATACGTAGCTAAGCACCTTTTTTAGCATTTTGTATGTAATGACTACCATAATTATAGGAAACTACTTTGTCATCTTGATTGATCTATAGAAACTATATACTTCATCTCTCTGAATATCAGTATCCTCACCTTTTACAATAGTAGTTCTAGATAATTATTAAAATTTCTTTTACTTCATTAAAGATCCCACACCCGGTATACCCCACTTTTAATGACAAAGAATTTACTCTTTACCTAAAGTCACGTGATGGGAAAGACAGAGGGGAAATTGATATTATGATCATAAAATAACATCTCTCCAAAGATACAGTAAACATGCTATGTCCGTCTGTGTGTGTGTGTGATATGTATGTGTATATATATGAAGAATATATGTAACTACATACATAAAATTATAGATAACTATATATAAAACTATGTATGTATTAAAATAATTTACAAAACTTTTTTTTCTAATCGAAGGAAACAATGTTCCACACTCAGAAACAATTTCTACCTAATTTCCTTTTGGTTACTAGTCATAGTGTGTTACTTGGATTAAAAACACTTATATAATAATATTTTTTTGCAGATTAAACACTTAAAACCATAGAATAATATAGCTACATGAAACCTTGGAGGTCACCTGCCTTGGTCCCCTGGCCAATTATATGGTCTTTAGGCTTTGAAACAACTACCTATGTTATCTTTTGTCTTCAGGCTTTGAAAACTAGTGGCTGTGTTTTCTTGGGTAAATTTCTTGACCTTTCAAGGACTCAGGTTCTTCATCTGTAAAACTGAGATAAAAGTGTTTTTCTTACTTGAAAGTTTCTTATTTTTATGACTGGCAGCACAGTAGATTTATCTGCACCATCATCACCACATACCCACTAGTAATGCATTGCACTAGGACATTAGGATGACTACAATGTCACTAGGTGATAGGGATTTCTAGCTCCATTATAATCTTATGGAACCACCATTGTATATGCGGTCCATCATTGACTGAAATCTCATTATGCAGCCTATGACTGTATATACACATGCAGAGAAAGAGCGAGAGAGAGGCAGAGAGAGAGAGAGAGAGAGATTGATAATATGTACATTAAACAGGCAGATATTTGCCTTTACAACTGGTAACATTTCAGAGGAATGGACACTTGCCATTTTCAGTTTTAAGGACTATATTTTGCAAGCTAATAGATATTTTCAGGATTTTTTTGCATTTTGAAATATGAATAGTAATCAGTAACCTGATGAATAAAAAGAATATTTTTCTTGAGAGAATTATAAAATGTTTAATGAATCATTAAATGCATATAGAGAGTCAAAGTAGAAGACAATTTTCCACCACCACTGCCACCGTCATACAAATGCATGTGTATTACAGAACATACACTCTGGAAGTGTGAAAATAGAAAGAAGTCAGTTGTGTGATTGAAATACAGTATACAAAGCATTCTTTAGATGACCCTAATGAGAATTAGTACCAAAAGAACGCTAATCATATGTCAAGTGAAACATTTCTATATCTCTCTGTATCTATATCTGTGGCTTATAATTCATCAAAACTGGCATCCATATTTCATTGCTCAAGTCTTTGCAAGCTACGTTTTTACATTTCAGCTACCATGCAAAAGCGCCTGAAAAAGGAGAAAAAAACCAAGAGAAAATTGCAGGAAGCCTTGGAATTTGAATCAAAGCGCCGAGAGCAAGTGGAGCAGGCACTTAAGCAAGCCACCACTAGTGACAGTGGCCTGAGGATGTTAAAAGGTAATGTCTGATTTGGACTTTCACTCTCAAGGTAAACAAAGCAAAACTGATTTAAGAAAAATAGAAGAAGGGGAAAAAAAAAAAGAGAGAGGAAAGCAGGAAGAAAGGAAGGGAGAGGGAAACGGATATATTTTGTCCAGGAATGATTAAAAAATCAATTTGAGACCAAGTATTTTAGAGCATGAATTAAAACCAGTCAAAATAACCACTGTTCAGGAGATACAAATAGCCTTGGAATAATAGGAAATCCTACAGACTTCTGCAGTAGAAGCAATAACACTGATAACCACCCTGCACCTAAAATGTAGGTGCATTAGATCTTTTCATGTTAGAATATGCTGTTGTTTGGTGAACTGTATTTTGATTAGCTATGCAATGCTTGTTCCTTTAATGCAGATTCCATCAGTGTTGCCATGCCTAAGGAGTACCGGGTTGAGAAAACATGTTCTGAGTAAATCCCTGCAGATCCTGTAAATGGAGATGCTTGAATTATGAAAGATCTTAATTCCAAACTTTTTTGATTCTATTTTTAATTCTGAGGCCTCATAACATTGTTTCATCTCACTCAGACCCAATTTCAAGTAAATGTTCAAATAAATGTGTACACACACAAACAGAACCTTTTTACATCAAAATTACTAGCTTTTACCTGAGCAGCACAATCATAAAACATTTGCCCCGAGAGCCAGTAATACATGAAGACCACAAACCGTAATGAATATTTTGGTATTCACTTGCACTTTATATATATATACACACATATATGTGGATATATATATTACACACATATATGTGTGTGTGTATGTGTGTGTGTGTATATATATATCATAAATAATATCATGAATCACATCTTACAAAGGGAAAATATAGCATGAGGATGGGGGCAAGTTAACCTGACAGTCTTAGGGGGTTTTAATGGACAGACTATTTTGCTAAGATTTATTTTTAGAGAATGAAAAAAATAGAGGTATTTACAATATACCTAGAAATATATGCTCAATTGTAAGATTCAGCTGCAGTTTATAATCCTCCCTCTTGCCGTTAAAAACAGACATACAAAAAACGAAAATGCCACCCAAGGTCTTATGTTATCTGTAGAACCAAAGTACTGGCTTACTGGAGTTTTCCTTTTAAATGAAATCAGGAACCACCTCATTGTACCTTAATCTTGCATGTCACTTATTTCAGATACTGGAATTCCAGATATTGAAATAGAAAACAATGGGACTCCTCATGACAGTGCTTCTATGCAAGGTACAGTCAACTGCAAACTTGTTTCTATGACTGCTTATTATGTGACCCCTGGGGATGAGGTGGGGATGAGCTCCTATGATGATACTCTTCTTATAAATAAAATAAATAAGTTTTAACCCTTCTTACTTTATGACACAGGAAGCAATTTGCAGTTTTTTTGAAAAAAACAATACTTAACATGGGTTTGAAAACCTAATAACTGTGGTTACATAGGGACTAATAATTTTACATATACAATGTGAGCAAATACGTTTAGCTGTAAAAAGAATACACATTTGTACATCAGGCATATTCTAAAAATGCATAAATGTGAATGTAATTTACCTTTTCAAAGCGTACAATACCATGAGGTATTTTTGTAATTTCACCACTTTACCCTTTGTAAAAGCCACAGGTACAATAAGTATAACTTATCGAAATTGTAAAGGTGTTCCAGACAACATTTTTTTCATCCTTTAAATTTTGATGTTAATCTTAGAGACCACTTAAGTATGAAAATCAGGACATGACTTATAATTCGTGATTTCCATCATTATCACAAATGCTTACATCTTTAAAAATATTTGACAATATTTAGTAGTAAGAAAACAGATGAGACAAATCACTATAGAGTCTCACTGGAGTGCAAAAGCACATAAAAATATGAGTTAAATGTGACCACTGAAAATGTTCCCGGTTGATTCCAATGCACTTCTAGAACTTTGCATGCAGATTACATTTATTTTCACATTTATTGTGATAAAATACCTCACTCTAATAAAAAATAAAGAACATTGTAATGAGAAAACTATTTCCTAACTTTGAAAAATGAAGACAACTGTGAATATGTTGCTTGCTGGAATTAATCAGTGCCTTTCTACTGTGTGATGAGTGGATCTACATAAAAGCAACAGAACTGGATGTGACCAAAATATCCATTTTGGTTCATCTGAAGGTCACCATTTTATGTGGTAGCTTCCTAAGTTGTTTTACATGTAGTTTTACGAGTCATCTTTATAAAACCAGAAACATTAGCTCTCATGGATACTCTAGTGCTGCATGACTCTGTTGCAGCTGGGTAGACCTAACTAATGCACTAACTATGTTAGGTGTAAAAGCATGCATGCTTGCCTCATTCATTGAAGCTTTTGCTATTTCTTATCCCTTTTTTGCTTGCCTGCTTTATTCCCTCAGCTTAAAGGCTGTGTCTACATGAGCAAAACCAATTCAAATGGAATTCAATTGTCCAACCAATTCATCACAGCAAAATTCATTAAGAAGTGCCCCACTAGTTGTGGGCTCGGTTTTTGAGGTTGCCATCACATACCAGCTCCATGGTAGAGATGAATAGCCTGAAGCAGTTGATCCCTTCTGAATCAGTGACACACAAATATAGACATAGTCTTTAAGGAATGTTGAACTTGAGTGTGCCCTGCTTTGAGTGGGTTTAAGGTCAGCTTTGAAACTGGAGAGGGTAATCCGAATACACCACTAGTGAGTTTTATCTTTATTATCTTTTAACCTGTACCTCTGATTTATTGCTGTTCGTTTAATTTATATGATACCTTTAGTTCATAGTAGTAACATCTTTCTTAACTCTGAGAGAAATACAAGCTTTTGAACTGTCCTAAAATTATTTCATTTCCATGTAGCAAATAGTGATATTTTATTTGTGGGCAATTAGGAGATATAAGCAAAAGGTGGATCCACTCTTCGTTTCCAAATATTTTTATGAAGTCTACCAAGAATGGCTTTTGCATATTTACTTGTACTTAGGGAAGGACACATTTAATACTTCTTTTCACTGTACATACTTTTAATAAGTTCTACAAGTTTTTACTTGCTAAATATGAGAGAATTAGATTCATCTTAACAGGATTGAGATGGAATTTATTTTAAAGCAAAGAAGCTGATTTGTATTTTTTCCAAATTAAAAATTACATTGTCTAGTATTTATGTTCGATATTGTCTATATATGGTAAAATATGGTAGGTTAATAATTTTTTATTGGATGTCTATCTTTTACATTATATTAAATAAGATTCTATATAAAAGTGATACAAATGGAAAAATACACATTATCTCTTCTCTTAGCACAACATTTAAGCACTGTAAATGATAAAACCCCATCATCCCTTTGTGAAAAACTAGAGTTAATGTCTTATGTTAATATGACAGTAGAATCACAATTTAATTAAAAAAAATAGCAAATTTTATTCTTTTAGCCAGGAAAATAGGTGCCAAAAAATATTATCAGAAATAATTTTAAATAGAGTTTACCAAATCAATCAGGTCAAATAATCACCTAAAAATCCCAAACATTTTGCCTATTATTTGTAAAATAATAAAAAGTAATATAAACATTACTTTTAAATGTATCTATGAAATTTAGAAAATGTATAATGCTCAGAAAACGTGAAAAGCAAGCTTAGCCATTATTTTTCTGTTCTTCCTATTAATTTTGGTTTTGTGAGTCATAGTTATTTTTTGTGACTTATTTTGATACTGTTTCAATCTTTTCCATCTCCCTTGAAACCTATTTTTTAACTTGAAAGATCATTTCCTATCATTGTTTGTGAGCGTCAGTTCATGTATGCCAATACAATACCATTTCCAAAATTCATCTCCATCACAGGAAAAATTCCAGCATCAGGAAAGTTCTTTCTCTTCCTATTGTCAATAGCTCTGCTAGATAGACATCTGTCATTCACCTAGTACTCTCCCTTTGAAATTCAATTGATTCCACTGTGACATCTTCTTAAGAATTTAAAAGGCACTTGGAAAAACGTTACATGACCAACCCGGAAGCAAAAACGTCATATCCAGTTTTATGGTAATTTCCACGTGAGTTTTAGTGCAAACAAACTGCACATGTACCAGAAATCTTAAATATATAAGATTTTATATATATACTATATATAGTGTATATATATTATCTATTCTATATAATGTATTATATGTAATACATTATATGTATATAATACATCTCTTCAGCTTAGTTATTTCATGTCTTTTATGCTTTGAATGTTGTTTGACAGAGAAGACAATATGCATAGACCAAGTTTCCATAAAAGGGTATCTGTATCTTTTATATTTTGGGAGTCTACCATAGCAACTCCTGCAGAATGTTTTCTGGTGATCACACAATGTGTATACACTACTCCAGTGGTTATGTCCGCTATCTCTAGAGATGAAGGATTTGGTGGAGCACTTGTGCTAATGTCATTCCATCCAAATTCCTATAACTCAGTTGAGGGCCTGCAAGATAGCACATCAACCATCTTATCAACCAATCCCTGTTTCACATAAAATAAACATACCGGGTGTCATTAAGTGCACCTTCAGATCAATGATTTTTTTGCAAATGACATTCAAGTGCCATTTGCGTAGTGCATTTTTGCTGATAAAAGCAAATTAAATTAGCACAACTACAAGTGTGCTGATAAAAACTAAAACTGAACAGCAGTACCATTAGCTAACAAAGTAATATTTCTTTTTACTGCATTCTGCCATTTAGTTATTATCCTATTGGAAATCTAATTATAATCCTTTTACTCCCTAGTCAAACTTCACAGTTTTTGCAAGCTTAGCACTGACAAGTGATTTCATTACATTTGATTGCCTGCGCCCAGATTGACTTAACTTCACTTGGAGACCTAAAAGCCCTCTCAGTTTCTCAGATTCCCTGTTTGCACATTACTGCAACAGCTCCTTTAATTAATTAGCATGAACAGCAGTAACATGAACTGCTGAACAGAAAATAACATCATTTTATGATCTCAGGGAGACTTCTCCTTTTGCATGTTTATACCTTAGTTAACTTTTGTATGACTATATTTCATTGTTAGTGGCTAGTGGTATAGTTGACAGTGCATGTTTCCTAAATTTAAAAAAAATGAAGTTAACATCTTAATAACAATAGGTAAAACAAAAACAGAATATGAAGCTCCTACTTTTTAGAAAATAGACAACTGTCACCATGAACTGACTTTATAGTAATAAAATAAAATAATAAATTTCAGGGGAGATAATATCATAAAGTACAAGGGCACAGTGACATACTGCCCCTGTATCTGCCACTGCATTTGCTTGAGGAGAAAAAAATAAACCACAAAATGTTTAACTGTGTTTTGCCCATGGAATGTCAATCTCTGTGAATAATTTTTACATTTTCTTTTATGTATACATGTTTGACAAAGACACAAGATGATTTAGCACTGGAATATATTTTCCTCTGATATTTTTTCCATAAATGTAGTAGCATCCTAAATAATTTTTTTATTCCTTTTGCTACTGAAACACTAGAAGTAGATATTAAGTCAAATCTACATGTGAAAGGAAACCAAAATTTCATGTAAAAGTAAAACTACTAGAACTTTTTTTTTTCTGAACTATTTTTGCTCAGAAATAAAAGGGATCTTATAAAGAGTACAGACTGGTCATTCAAAGATACAAAAGTCATGATCTCATCTATGCAGTACCTGGTGAAGGTGCCACTGAAGAATTAAAAGCAAAAAAAGTGTCATTTGACTGCAAAAGCAGCAAATATTATTTTAACATCTATTATATTAAAAATTATAGTCTAGGGCATAATTTAATATGCATAGCTTATGGCCTAGAACATTTAATATATATTCATAATATGAAATATATGTGAATATGTCTATTTTTATCAATTCTCTCAAAATCAATTGGAACAGTGTATATCCTTCCTTGGCCCCTTAGACCTCCTTATTATCTTTTCTCTTTGGTTCTTGCTTACTAACCTAAAACAACATTCCTCTAAAGAACGTAAGATGCCATGCCAATATTTCCTAAAAACAACTACCCTTGGGATAGGATTATCACTGTAGAATTAGGAAGAGTAGTAAGAAAAGTGATAGTAAGAGCATGAAAGGGAGTCAGAAAAAATACATCACGTATGATTTATTGGCATGTATGTGATATGACAAGAAAAATTAAAAGGAAAACAGATGGAATTTTATTATAGGCTTTTCTACTTTCCTCCACCACAGTGTGCT